AGAGATATGATCAGAAGTATATCCGTTGACTAATAAACATGTACATGTATATTGTGTTTTTTAAGTCATTAATGTTTGTTTGTTGTTAAATGTCCCTCTTGGGAATTTTTCACTCATACGGAGACACCACCACTTAAAAATAATGAAGACGTACAAGTCAGATTTGAGCTTAACATTCATTTTAGGAGTTTTCAACAATTAAGACGTAAAGAGATAACTCCTTCCCCTTAATTGCCCCTTCCCCTTCCCAGACCCCTGTTTGTTATGTATGCAAACTAGTCTAATACTTTGGTTTGACATAAAAAAAAAATGTGAATGTATACAAATAGTTTAATGGTCCATCTCTATGAATGATTTTCATTCCTAATTCTAGGAGGGTACATGGGTTGACCCAAATTCATGACTGAAATGTCAAGTAATCTTATCATTGATGCACTTTTATTTAATTTGATGTAGTCATATTATGAACATTTCCAGTTCATTAAGAGAGTGGGGATGACCTCAAGGGTTCATAACCTTAAACCATTAAATGTACATAACATAATAACACAAGAAACAAAATTATGTATAGTCAAATGGAAAAGTTTTCTACTATTTAGGAGTCACATGATCATTTGCCATTTCAGGGACAGGGAGCGGCTAGGGAGATTGGAACCCATTCCCCCCCCCCCTTGGAATTTGCAGAGTTATTTAAATAGGACTATATACTGATTTACAGAAGCAAATATAAAATGACTTTGGATCCCCCCCCTTTAAAAACATGGACCCCACCATCATTGTTTTTATTTTGTTTGTTTGTTTGTTTGTTTTTTTTTTTTGCTCCTCAGGAAATTCTGGGCTGGAATTTTTTTGGACTGAAGTGTGGACCCCCCCTCCCCCGGAAAAAAAATTCCCGGATCTGTGCCTGTTACTGAATGTAATGTCGACAACGGGAGATAACTCTTCAGAATGTGAAATTCGTCTATTGTGGCATCTGATGATCCACTCTCTACCATCGGCTCATACATTCAGTGTCTGAGAGAGAAACGAACGACAACTCTGCATAGGAGATTGCCGATGATCTTTGATCCTTTTTAAACTTTAACCTAACCATTTGCATTTCGGTTTATTTTACCCCAATCTATACTTAAACTTGTACTTACCGACTGTCATAGGTCCTGTCAACTTCATGAAATATAATCCAATTAAAACACAAAATGAATTAATTTCCACTGATATACATGTACATGTAACACTGCACCATGTCACATGGCATGTGCAATCTAAAAATGATAATGGTAAAACTAGTACTAGCACTGGTAGGGTGACGCAAGCCCAATGTGATGTAGAAATTTTCAAAAAGGTGTTCACATACATGTACAGTACAAGAACAAATTTTAAATTATCATAACAAACGATGTTTTAACATAACTTTGCCATCTAGGCCTATTTCCAAAAACAGGCAAATTGTGTGTGTGTGTGTTGGGGGGGGGGGGACAAAATTGATTGGGTAGGGCTTTTCAAGGAGGTTTTTGCCTAATCAAATACTAAAAAAAGTTTGCACATTTTGATAAATTCATCAAAAACACTTTGTACTAAAATAATAGTATTTGTTGTTGAGAAAATAAATTTAAAAAAGTTCCAATTATGGGCGAAAAATTTATACACCCCCCCCCTTTTATCAAAACCTAATTTACATCATTAATTAAATTCTGTTATTTCATACTGGTTATGAATTAAGTATATGAAATGCCTATAAGAGGTTCATGGGTCACATCGTCACCTGAGCATTTTATGCTCGATTTGACGAATACATGTACTGTGTAAATTATAGAATTATTTGGACTTTTTCCTTGGTATGCCCAATATGAAGGAGTGTGCATTTAGAGGCAAACACCTTAGTGCGGGTATTACTGTCTCATGACAGCATCTAGTTAAAGCTGTTTCCAATATATATTCCTATGTAAAATTTTGATACCCCATTGTTGCTCCATCCTATCCCCATGGGGGTCATTATCTGAACAAACTGAAATCTACACTACCTGAAGATGAGTCCATATCAATATGACTAATCGCAGCTTTGTTCTTCTTGAAGAGAAGAAGAATTTTAAAGATTGTTTTCTATATATTCCAATTTATAGCTTTGATCCCAAATTGTGGCCCCACCCAACCCCCGGGGGGTAGACTTGTAAATGGTCAGGTAGACTTGTAAATGTTCAGGTGACAGTTAAGGCCCTTGGGCTTCTTGTTTATTTGATTTTTGTTCATGTGCATTAAGAAATATGTATTGTAATATAACAATGTACTGATAAATGGATATCAAGATCTCAATTAACTTAACAGATTAAAAAAATGCCTTTAGACAAAATTTTGAGTAATGTTAATGTATCTCTCCAAATTTTCTATGGTTTAAATATAAAAAATTACTTTCATTTCCATCGAAATACAAATTGATAAGTTTAAGAAAGTCTTAAATTTTTCAAAATATTAAAATAGTAGTTACACAGTTAAGATAAGCTTTGGGTGACACAAGCCATTGCTTTGGATAGCAATGCATTTATTTTTTATTTTGATTATCTTTTTCAAACAATATCCATGTTGTATGGATACAATATAAAGGTATATTTGTAAAATTACTTTGAATTTGAACAGAAGAATAATTCTTTAAAGAGTAAACTTTATACTGTCTAAAAAATGAGATACATTGAGATAAAAAATATTCTATTCACTTTTTTAGGAAAAAATAATGTTGTCAGAAGGAAGCAAACCAAGTACGTAAGTAGTTAAGGCGATAGTGCGTTAATTTCCAACAAACGTTTGTGTAATAATTTATAAATCACAGTTGAATAATTAACCGGCTATTGAAATATAGAACATAAATAAAATCTGACCGATATGAAAATGTTTATAGGTCTTTCACACTATTATTTGATTTTTGTTAACATTTATTCTTTTATAACCTACTGATTCCATCTTCGACATTTCACAGTCGTGCATGTTTGTGTAATTTATTTTGTTGATCATAGAAGATGGTCTGGTTTCTACTGTGACATTTTCTACACTTCCACATAATATAGATATGAAGTGTTTATAGCACCTCCTTATCCTCTTACATATGCATAATTAGAGTTATTTTAATACAAATTCAAAGAAATGGTTGGAATTCGTCCAAGATAAAATGATCATTGATGATGAGTTTTGCATTTTCCGTCCTTCTGTACGTCTGTCTCTATTTTACACATTCGTTTTTAAATGAATTTCCATATCACAACTTCCTAAAGAAAAAAAGACCCCTATTGATTTTGGGGTCAAAAGGTCAAGGTTATCATTCATATATTACGTCTGTGTGTAACACTTTCCTTTCTTTAAGATTTTGCAATAAAATTTTAAATCACAGCTCCATATGTCTTAAGAAGACCTCTATTAATTTTAAAGTCATACGGTCAAAGATAAATATCGGAAAACCATATATTGCAAAAAAAAAAATGACTTCTACATGATAGGTTTACTTCACAACTCCTTGCGACTAAAAAAGAGACTTCTATTAGAGACTCTCTGCATGGTCAAAGGAATCTTGCACCAACAAGAACTGCTAGGCCTAACGTTTTCTATGAGAACTATGGGTAGGGGGTGTTAATGTCGTCTTCGCAGTAGCCAGTAAGATACATCGATAAATTTTGACATTTCATTGAGTTAAAAAGAGTTTTTTTTTTCTCTTGGTTTTGGTCATAAGCATTCATTTTATAACGCAGGAACTTTCAAAAATGGGGGGGGGGGGGAGGGTTAATTCTTTGAATTTGTTTGTTTCAAATACACCGATGAAGAAAAGCAAAGATCTCGTATAAATGTATATTAACGAGACAGATCAAAGACAATCATGTTTCAGAAATATTTGCAATCGTTAAAGTGACAAAGAAAGGCGAAATTCTCTCTCTCTTTCGATCGACGCTAAATATCTTTAAATTAAAGAAAAACGAAACCTTTCTCACTCACACACATGCATTTTAACGCTATGTTTAAATTTTTGACATGTGAAAGTATTAGGCTTTTGTAGTTGTAGAAAATAGATTTAATTGCTTTTTATTTTTATTATTTTACATTTATAAACATAATCGATCATGATCTGAAGACAATATAGAAAGCAATAGTCTCTTTCGATAATTTTAAAGATCGTTTATTGGATAATTTCTGGAATTAAATCCTTTGAGGTTTATTTTGAACACTTCCATATAAGTTATTGGTTTAACTTATTTTAAAATATGCATACCAGATCAAATGAATACAGTGCAAAACACATTTGTTAAAGTTCAATAATAATCGATCAAAATTGAACTCTCCGAGGTGTTTAAGGTTTTATTAGAATTGACAGACACTTTAATTTTGACCTACATTTCAGTATAAATTATTTGTAAATCAATTAAAGGTAAGGATGATCTATTTTACTACAATTACTTATTATAGTTTATAGTTGTAACCTTGCCTGGTGTATGTTCACTTTTCTATGTGGAAGGATCATTGTAAATGAAAAGAAAAAGTTATTCACCAAAAAAATATCAATACTGACCGAGTCGAAGCCGAGCTTAATATTGATATTTTTCTGATGATGTATTCACTTAAAGATTTTTTAAAAAATGCCACTGATTCATAAATGGAAATAAGAATGGAATCTAAGATTTTATGATCTTGTTATAAAAACATTTTCTTAAAAACATTAGCATCCAAGTTCAAACTGTTGAAAGGATTGATGAAAAAAATATTTAGTGAACAACTTACTAGATCAAGGTAGATAAGAAAAACTTATCCTATAAATGCCTTATTTGTTATTGCTAGACATTGGTCTATATCGATATTTTCTGAACATTGGTATATATTAATATCACCTAAACATGCTTGAAGTTTTTGAAAATCTGAAACTTCAAAATGTCGAAACTGTTGCCATTCGTTGTTATATCGAATATTGCCAACACTGTGGCAAAACTAACACACATTTTATATTTTACAGACGACCTCCAAACACAGAAATGTCAAAGGTTTTGCTATGTATAGCAGTCCTTGTGACACATTTCAATAAGTCATTCACACAGACAGAATTTAGACGTGTCTGTCCACCTAATCAGCTTGACGTTGGAATCAGACGGGAGCCACAAGACAGCCTAACCACCCACACATGTGTACCGGGTCCCCTTAATGGTAGATGTTTTATACAAGGTAAAAACACAATTTCAATATATTTAGTCATTTTTTTTCAGAAAACTAATTATTTTTATCTGTGGAGAGAATGCGTCTGTTCTTGCTGTAGGACTACTTTGTTTTTCTTTAAATGTATTTACGTAAGAGTCCTTTTTTGTTTACTGATATGATTTGTGGAAATTTAAAAAGAAAATAGCAAAAGATATAACACTGTTCTTTTAAAGGGAGATACATTTAAAACTGAATGAATGCATAATATTGCTCAAGATAGATTATATAAAAAATCGAGAGTATTTTGTTTTTAACGATAATTTTCGATTTGTTGTTTCCGAGTACGAGTGTAAATTTGTGTAAAGAAAAAAAAACAACAAAAAAAAAAAAAAAAAAAAAAAAAAGAAAATAAATAAAAAAAAACAAACAAAAAAAAAAACAAACAAAAAAAAAAAAACAAACAAACAAACACAAAAACCCCTACAAAAAAAATAAATTAATTTAAAAAAAAAAAACCAAAAACAACAAAATATTCAAATTAAAATATAACACAAATTAGCGTTCACGCACATGTACCAGTCTCAACAATATGATGAACGTTCTTGTTGAACAACCTTAGTAAAACTTGTTTAATTGAATAATGATTTCTACCGTGATGGTTGTATATTAAGTAAATCAGCTGTGCATTATACCGATCTTATGAAAAGACACACCTGGAATGCCTATGAAAATTAAAAGTGCACGAAAATTTATCAAAATTTTATGATTTACCTTCAGTAATTAGAAAGACAGGTGTAACAAAATGTTACCTTAACTTTCAAGTAAATGTCAACTACAAAAGAATTTCCTGTTAACAAGCGGGAAATCTTGTTTGAAAAACCTCTTCTGTCAGTCATATTTTTTTAGTCTCTATATAAATATCTTAGTAATATATTTTTTAAAGATATTCTTTTTATTTGTCTTCTGCGTAGTAATCTTTGTGAGTTGTAAAGAATTTAAGCTAATGATTAATGAAGACTTTTTGCACAATGTCATAAGAAAAGCTGAAATCATAATAGTCTCGACTTTGAAAGATATGTTTACTTTTAAATGACAAATAGATTAATATATTAAATGAACGTGTTAAATGAATTACGAATGAGTAAAACGCGTTTTATCTATTAAGTTTGATGTAATTGAAAAAATATGGTTGTAAGTTTAGAAGAGATTACAAGCATGCTTTGCCTGCTGACCAAAAGGACAATGCACTTCACGACTACAAATGACTTAATTAGAATAAACTTATGTCTGGAAAATGTTAGAGTTTCAAATTAAGATATTTCATTTTATTTTCAATAAAATAAGAATTAAATATAGTTTAGCAAACATATATTGGTTTGATAGATGCGGATGGTGGATTTAATTGTACAGCTGATTTCCAGCTTCAAGGTGGCCTACCAAATCGCCAGTCCCTATGCTGTGAGAAATTAAGTACAAAATATTTTATGTGACAAAAATGTTTGTAAAAAAAAAAAAAAAAAAAAAAAAACTTTAAACAGAAAGATTCAAAGTTGATATCAAAATGGTATTGTTGGCAAAAAATATGTTTTATATATTTTTTTAGATTAATCATGTCATTATTTTTACTTTTTACTTTTTACTTTACTCTTTACTCCCATTACCTAAGGTTATAAAGTTACCCAAATCATCAGTCCTTGTGTAATTTTTAACAAATTATTTTACTTCAACATCTTGTGAAAATTATTAAAAAGTTTTAACGTTCCTGTAAACATTAACAAATTAATATGAAATAGATTGGACAATCCCTTTATTTCTCCAAAGTGAGGAGTTAACTCAAAAAATATTTTTGCGTAGCGGTTATGAGAAATTTTATGTGGTTATATTTAGCATAGGTATGCCGTTATAGAACTATAGTTTTCGCGTACTCGAAAATTTAAGCACGAAGCGTGTTATCATGTTACATGTCCTGTGCAATTTTGAGGTAAGCATGACATTTTAAAATTTTTAACGTCAACTTAATAAAGTGAAGTAAATGATTTTTTTTTTTTTTTTTTTTTTGCAAACTTGTTTTTTTTCTTGTTAAAGTTGTGAAAATAAGGCAACTGTCCATATCCATATGCAGTGTAATAAAAGAAACTTATATTTGTAACTTACATTACTCTGAAAAAATATGACTACCTGATTTTTTCTTTATCTTTGCTTTAAAATTGTCATTATTGACAGAATAAAGGACACATTGAACATGAAGAGTACGAGGGCTGTTCGGAAATTATTGAAACAATGTGTATATATTTTTTTTCTAGTGAACGTCTTTCGGCAAAAACTTGCATATACGTTTGACAAATACTAAGAATTAATAAAAGCAAAAACTATTTTACAAATGTTTCATTTGTTTTTCTTTTCAGTGGTATATTAATGTGTCAATAGTAGGGTTATCCGGCGCAGTCACGAAAATAGATATTGAAAATGTGTAACACCAACGTTCAAACTCTCGGTGGAACCATAGTAAGAGCGAAAATAATTCAATTTTTGTATAAATTTTTTCAATTTTATTTTGACTTCATTTTCTGCAGGTTTGTTAGAAATTCGATCAGAAATACGGAGATCATAAATAAATTTATGCGCGGCATAGAAATCTGAGAACGACGACAAAAATGAATTTGACGTCAAGGCGGCACAGCGAGCATACCTATAGTTTCGTGTAGCGCTATGGAGAACTCTTTTTCCAGACTAAACGAACTGCTAAAACAACAACAATAAAAAAAACATGTCTAATGGTTTTATTTTTTTATTGGTATATATTTTTTTTCTTGTAAAATATTCAAGAAGAGTAAAAGCAAAAGCTCCGGACGACCATCAATTATTACGGACTAAAAAACGTAGACCCACGTTGCATTAATCGGTACTGCAAGATACTAATTCAACCTGTATATGACACTTCATGTATTTTTACACTGGGGTAGCAACAGCACACATATTTTTTATTTTATTTTTTTAAAGAATTGTTTAAGATAAGAGACATTTGATTTTTGGAATGTTATATTTGTAACAGACAAAGAAGAGTAAACGCTTCCCGATCGTTTCATATGCGAAAACATCTTCAGCTGATGTGACGTTAAAATGACGTAGCGATGCTGCTCCAGGTCGATAAACATATGCATGTTTATAATTTCAACGGAACTTGTCTAATTATCCTATAAATCAGACATTTTGCACATTTCTTTTATTCGTTCTTAATAAACTGTTAACGAAATTTTTATGAATTTATCTCCGGCCTTAATGGAGTAAAAAGTAAATGTCTCAATAATTTCAGAACAGCCCTCGTAAAACCCCTCTATAGACACTAGAGGGCAGGGTATCAATACCTAAGAAACTTGATGACAGGACTGCTTTAAGATATGTGGTACATACAAATAAGTACATGAAATTTACAAAAAAAATCGAGAATGACATGTTTTTCAGCTCAATTTCCTCACCCTTACAAGCTACATGTAAGTAAAAATAAAATCACAAATCATCAGGGTTAAGATTGAAACAACTCCTCGGTAAGCACTACACAGCACTGGGGCATTAAGAAGCGCTCGCCTCCCTTAAATTTCTAAAAACTAGATTACATTTGTAAACATATATCAAGGTAAAACTGTCATGATATTAATATCAGCGTATCAACATACTGAAACTCCTGCAAACGAGCATTACATGGATTTACTATTCAAGCGATCAAGGGAGAAATGAGTTCCCTTCTAATATATATCCGTCAGTTTTTGATAGCCAAAAAATCTTAAGACTATAACCTACAAAGATGTCTGTTTGCTTGTATCAGAAATTCTTTTTACATAAGAAAGTAATGAAGAATAAAATTGTGAACATGATGAATGGGCGAGAATAAAATGCACTTTCTCTTCCATTGTTGATGAAGACAATTTGGGGATTTTTTTTATGGAAAATAAATAGACATGAGTAGTGAAATGTCTTAAAAACCTTTGGCATAATGACAAGATGAAAGACGGAGGGTGACAAGAAACACAAGTATGCGCTCAAATCACAGCTCAGTGTCGAGCAAAGACAGAAATTCTTTGATAAGAAATTGCATAATTTGAGTATTGATGAAAATTGCGGTTGTGTTTGTTTAAACAGGTGTAACTACGCCTTTAAAGGTAAACTATATGGCTCAAGTTTATTGTTAAAATTACTGAAATTCAGGACCTTCTGTGGGCTTCGACCACCAGAACCACCTGCCTCTAATAAAAAATTAACCCCCTTCCAAATCAAATTTCTGGATCTGCCTAAGTAACGCAAGCAAATTTATTAATACTTTAAAGTAGCAACCAGTTGTTTAAACATGCATCTGTGTATGTTTTTGTGTTAATTTAGTGCGCTGTCCGGTATTGTCAATATTATATGAATAATGTTAAAAAATGTCATACATTGAACAGAAATTGAAATTTATGAGAAGTTTATATTTCTTGATATTTTTTTTATCCGTTGTTGTGAAGGCATATGCATTGGGTAACCCCCCTTCGACGATTCTTAGTTCAAATTTTTTTGTCGTATTGATTTACTTTTGTGCTAACATACTTGGAAATATGAACGCAGTTCTGAAAGAAATTAAACACCTTTTTTTGGAAACTTTATTTGCAAACTGTATTACTTCAATTTCTTAATCATTGTGAATTATCGATTATTTTTAATATGGATTTAAAGTAAACCGTTCCGGACAATACAATGTTTACGTGAGATAACAGGGTTTTATGTGTAACTGAATATTGTGAGAGACGTGTTTACTTTATATGATTTATGTTACTTGGTATATTTTTAATTTTCAGGATGTTTTGTTAAATTCATCATTTATAGAGCTGCAGTTTCTTTCGAATATAAAATTCTGTAAATGTACAACTTGTATTCCTTTGATCTATTATAATAAAATACTGGGGGTCGTAACATAAAGCTTGCTAAGTTTTTGACTTAAGTAGGGTCATAAGTATGTTTTAGGTGCAATCTTAAGACCTGCATAAGTACTACTTAAGTATGTCTTTAACCGTAACATAAAACGGACTTAGGTAGGTCTTAGCTAAGTCAAACTTATGTTCAAAATATTTGTTATGAATCATCCTAGTTTTTCAATTCATTTATATATATATTTGTAAAAATGATTTAGTTACGTTTTTAATCACATATATATTAATGCTGACGTCCTTACCTATCGGATTTAGTTAGGTTAGATTGATTGATTGATTGTATATTGTTTTACGTCCCATTCGAGAATTTTTCACTCATATAGAGACGTCACCATATACCGGTGAAGGGCTTCAAATTTTGACCTTTACTCGGCACTCAGGGCCATTGAGCAGTGAGGGATCTTTATCGTGCCAACGCCTACCGTGACACGGGGCCTCGGTTTTTTAAGGTCTCATCCGAAGGACCCGCAACTTTCACTTCAAAGTGCCGAGCGCATGGCGAAGGAACAGTTGCTACCTATTTTTTATCGACTTAGGTCTGTCGCGGCCGAGATTCGAACTCACGACCTCCCGATCACGAAGCGAGCGCTCTACTGACTGAGCTACCGTGAACGGTAGTTAGGTTAGATTAATTTCGTATTTAATTAAAGTTAATTCTGTTTAAATTATTCGAAATACAATGTATTTGAAAACAAATATTGCACGGTCACAAAGTGGCACTAGTGGTTCATTGTAAATGCGTGAATATTGTTTATCACTCGAGACTGCGATGTTTTCAGTTTACCTTTTGTTGTTATTCTTTCGTTTGACAAATGTTCACTTAATTGCTTTCAAATTGTCATTCTCGCAGACATGGCACGATAACCGAACGTCTATGTACTTGAAATTGAAACTCTAATAAAAAAAAAAGAAGTGCAAAACAATAGGGACATTTTGATTTTTTTTCCCCATCCCATATCAGTAAGCAGAAACTGCAGACGTTTTATGATATACTTATTTACAATTTAATGAAGGATGGAAATTAAAGAATTGTTTTCAGAAAATAATTTTTCGTGTATCTCCAACTTATCAACAATCTCTCTCTCTCTCTCTCTCTCTCTGGAACGTTAGTGAACGGTAGTGAACCCTGTCTGAATCCTCGCTTGTTGCGTTCTACATTCAATCTAATTTACAGAAAATCTTTATTTGTTTTCTAGTCATCATCCTTTAATTCACCGACAATTTTTAAAATCATTTCATCTCATTTTTCACAGTGAACAAACAAACCCATGATTGCTGTATACAAATTACTTTTGTACTTTTATAATTAAAATTATACAATATACCTATAAAGATTAGTGTTTATAACCTAGGTCCCACTAATATTTCAAACGTATCCCAAAAATAATATTTTGCATTTAGATGTATATGTCATTTAGAGAGTGATATTGTAATCAGTGATGAATACCCCCCCCCCCCCCCCGACGAAAAACACTAAAATTCTTATACCAGTATATTAAA